TATCTTATCACCTCATTTTATCGACGCGTTAAGTAACAAGAGCTCTACCAGACTGGGTCAAATTCTACTACATTTTTCGCTGCTGATAACGAAAATGGAGCGGTTATTGCTTTCGACGCGGACAATAGATACACGAACATTTGTTTTCGCTGTCAAACGGAAAACTAAATGAATGATAGTGGTTGTTGTGCATTCCGATACAACACGATTAAAATGGGGGCGGGGGGGAGGTTGTTTACGTACGGAAATGGCTTTTAGCGTGCAAAGAAACGATGCAAAATACGTGTGTGAAATATGTGTGGTGTGCTATGCAATGAAAACTGAAAAGAAGCGGGTGGGAGTAACAGGTGTCGTAGGAATTTTTCATCCTGGCGGTGAAAGGTAGAGAGCGATCACACCGGATGTCATACAAACGGCTGCGCATAACAGCGCCACATTGAATTGCTGATGGTGGTTACGTCCAGGGCCGGCGGTTGCTGTTAAATCCGAGTGGGTGGGCGACCCGGGTGGAGTCCCTTCCCCCTCTTTCTCATAACGAAAATGTATGTGAAGGGAAATATCCAAAACATTTTTTTTTCTAATTGTCGGTTTATCAATGAATTATCACATTTATTTTATGGAACTTAATTTTTGCAATGCAAAAACAGCGCTGCGCTTTAAATTTATTTCTATATAAACTCATTTAAGAATTTTTGCAAATCGATTTTGTTGGTCATGTCACAATAAACATGCAAAATCGCAAAACTGTTGAGCCGTTGTTGCAACATAATTGATCGCAGATGCGTATTGAGTGGACGTAAAACCGAGAAACTTCGTTTGGTTTTCTGGAAGTTGACGTTTATAGAGCAATGTTTCTCGCCCCAACTTCGGAGTGATTATTTTACCCACTGGAAGGTTTTCGTATGGTTTACCAACATGCCCACATTGTCCGGCGGCACTGGTTATCTCCCTAAGTTCGGTCGTTATGTTCGGAAAACGTCGTGGAAATAGAAGTGTATAACTCCCTTCTGTTCGCAGGGCGCTGCCAGGACTGATAGAAGTGAGAAAGCAGTTACATGTAGAATGGAAGAACAGAGTTATTGGAGTTGTAATTGCCGTGTGGTGTATTTGACACGTCTTATTATAACTAGAGAAGAATGGACTTTGTACCAAGCGCACGATATATTTCATTTATTGCTGCTTGCATCATTTTAGCCTGAAATTCGTTGAAGTGTTTGCTAGACATGTGTGGGTTCCAAGGGAGACATTTTGGGTAGTTTTGTTAATTGAAGAAAAAATATACAACAAAATGGGATAGCGAATCAAAATGTATCAGCAATTCTTCGTCTCCATTTTTACAGAAAATGAACTGGTTCCTGAAATTGATATTCACTGCGAAATCAGTCATTACAAAATAAAATAAGAATGAACATATTGATTACTCTCCATAACTCAAATATTTTTTTAAGTTTTTATTTTTTTAACCACTCTATCTCACGTTTGTTTGCCGTGTGCGGAACAACTACTTGTTTCATTCTAACAGTGTGGTGAACATTTCGGCGCGAAAATTAGCGAAGCTTGTGTGATTCAGCTTTAAAGATCTTTAAAAAATAGCAGGTGCGCGAGACGATTCGGACATTTCTTACGTAACGTAGTGCTTTTTGATATCTTGTGAAATTCCTGTTTCGGAGATACGTGGTGTTTTCTTAAGAGTAGATATTACATCTTTTCTCTTTTTCTTTTACTTCTTTATCGAAATATCAAGATGGTCTCAAAATGATAACTGCATGTGTGTTCTCCAAGTCTCATCTTCTAAACGGAGTTCCGTTACAAGGAAACTTGTGTTTTCAGAAACAGTAATAGCTTCGTTGTTAGGATGCGGAGTACTTCATCGAGAGTGAGGAGTGACGAGTCGTGAGTTCCTTAGACGCATGAGAACAGAGGAGGGCGGAGGGAGGGGCAATGTCTTAGTGAATAAGGAACATTGTGAAGTTGTAGCTTAGGGTGGCCTCCCCACTTCTTTCAACGGCATTAAAAGTATTTTCATTTTTATAAATTTGAATCTGTTTTTAATTGTTTTAGAAAAAAATACAAAAAATCAGGCTAGTTCCCCACCAGAAGACCGTGATTCATACAGTGTTTCGGATTTTAACCTTTTATTCATACAATATTATTATACATACATACATTTATTAGAACTGCAATTGGGTATGACCCGGTGGCAGTTAATGACAATAATTGCAAAAATTACACTTACATTAATAATAATACTAATAATGATAATAATAACAATAATAACCGTGGAATGCGTGGAATATCTAGCGTGCCCCTAGCGATGGGCCGGAAGAGGACTGACCCTGACTGAGTAAGTAGCTTGAGTGAGGAACGTACGGTCGGCCACACGCAGGTTGCCCAATTGCTATAAGTCTGATGTTGAATACCTCTGTGGTGGCAAGGAGTCTATGCAGCTACGTGTACCCCTTGTGTCGCGTGCGTCCTTGAGGTCGTCGAAGAGGCCCTGAGTGCGTGTGAGTGGAGTAGGCGGCGGTCCGTCCAAAGAGCAATGGCGGCGACGGCGCATCTTAAGCAGGAAAGGCAAGGCAAGGCCCTCCGCCACGCGCGCGCGCCAACACCTCCGCCCAGGGGCGGCCAGCGCTTCGCACCGGACGCCGCTCTCGAGCTGGCGTTCGACGCCCCGATCACCTCCGATCAACGCCACGCGAACGCCGGGGCAGTACCCTGACAAACGGACCACTACCTCCTCTCCTGTCCTCTCCTCCCCCTTTACGTACATCCACTGCACTACTACGCATGCCGGTCGAGAGCGTAGAGCGTGTCCCGGCTGGGGCGATGCCCAGCGGGTGGGAGATACCTGGCAGGGGAAAACTCCGAAGCCCACGAGTAGGTCTTATTATCAAGCGGGACAAGATTACCTGTCGTGGAAAAATCTGCGCTACGCGTACGGGAACGGCCTTTGCCCTTTACGCGACCGGAAACGCGAAATAATGAACCAAGCAAACGAGTGATGGAATGAAAGCCCACTGCGGTGTGGCCTCGCACTATCTGCCTCTGAGGTAATCACCATCTTCTCCATTCAAAATTATATATTTTACTTTTAATTGATAAACTCAATATGACTGATGTTTGTTAATTTAATAGATAATAATTGTGCTTCGGTGGAGGCAATGCGAATTAATATTGTTAAATTTGACCCAATAACTGCCAACAGATTTATCCAAAAGTCTAGTGTCAGTTATCCAGTGGCCTACCGCCTTTCGGTAGAATTTTGTACAACCTCGTGGCAGTGCACTGAGTGCGACCAATTCAGCTAATTGAATGTCGCCTGCTTCCATGTGCCGCTGGAAACTAAGTGTGCGCGTAGATTCGTGGGTTTGGAATAGGCATGCGACATCCAAGTCTTAAACATCGTTAGATTATGGCTGATGTTTTTAACGCCTGATAATGGCTGATGTTTTTGTGCTAATGTTTTTACGTTTTCGATGTTTTGTTTGTGAATGAAAACGTTCCATGTCTCAGTTGTGCTGTTCTTTAGTAAATGCTTGTGTGCTTTTACGTTTACTATGTATTTGAACATTTCTAACGGGCAATAGGGTACGACAATATATGGCATTTATGTGAAAAGTTTTGGAAGGGGTAGACGAACGTGTGAGAAGATAAGCCATGTAAAGCTGGGAGACGAGTCGCTGACAGTTTCAAAGGAAGCTTCTTCGCTACGGTGGCGTGAGTTGAATCGATCCCTTATTTTACGTGGCGAGACTCGGGCCACAAGGCCCTACTCTTTCGCTACGCCCCCCCCCCCCATTTCGCTACGCCCCTTTCACTGACTTGCGGTAAAAGTAGGTATTTCTTGGGCGACGAAACGGGTGATTTGAGTTTACCCTGAGGCTTCATTTAGATTAGAGGATTTAGGCTTGGAGACTTTGCCGCGATCTACCGCTGGAGCAAATCGCTGCTCCTCCATCCACGAAGAATTTGCGCTGCCGCTCCGCAAGTCCGTGCATACCTATGGCCACTGCTGCGTCTACCCGAAAGTGTCTGCCGTAGTAATAGTAATGACACCACTACGCCGGTTCGGAGAAAACGGCGGCCACCGCTCAAGTTAGTATCCCGAGGTTGCTGGTCACGATTTATAACGAGACCTGATTGGCATGTACTTAAGAATCTTTTGCCTTTCAGTGTTCTGTTGTCAAAATTGTGCTCTTGGCGTATCAGGGCGATCTTAGCACAAGATACAAATAGCTCGTTACATATGTTTAAATATTTTGAACTATATTACGTATTCTACATATTTTGCTTGTATTTTACATATTTTGCAAAAACAATTCTTCCAATTTTTTCATAATTAGTTTTTAGGTAATGAATTTCCAAAATAGATTTAATTTTAAAATAGACATTTTTGCGCCTATTAAAATTGCAGACGACGCGAGGTGTCCTCATATGAAGGCGCGGTCCGTCTGCGTTGTTTGTTTGTTTGTTGTTTGTTTGTTGCGACAAGGCGCGTGAGCACTGAGAAAGTGGCGCTGACGCCCTGTTCCCTCATTCAAAGCGAATTGCGAAAGACGCTCGTTGTTGTAGAGATGAAACACTACAACGTCGTTGCTACTGTGATTGCTTGCCGGTCATGGTTACCACATTTGGGTGATGGCTATAATTGCTCTCGAACATTAAAATGTACTATTAACGAAATTTATATCAGTAGAACAAGTAATATTTATTTTCAAAATTAGCTTAATGAATGTTTCAATAATGAAATATCAATATCAGTCATTTATTTTGTTTATTTGAAAATGTTTTATAAGTAAGAGCTTGTTTTAATTTTACTAATTTTATCCTATTTCACATATTTAGTACACATCGTTATCATTTTCATTACATGTGTATGTACATATTTTTCCGGGCCATTTGTCCGCTTTCTGTGATGTGGGCCTGGTGTCGTTGTATATTGCACGTAATACTACTTGAATACAGAAAACGCGATGTAAAGAAGAGATGTCATTTAGATTGCGGTTACCCGCCGCCGGCCGTTAATCAGTGTCTTTCGTCCCCGTGGCTGGCTGTGTTGCGCCGATCAGCCAGCAGTGCAGCAGCCTTCGCCAAAACAAACGGCGAGGAGGAAGCGCAGGCCTTGCGCGCGGCCCTCGCGGCCTCGCAGGCGCCCGGTTCGACGCCCGAGCGAGGTCGCCCCGCCTCGCCCCTTGCATCGCGCCTGCGAGTCCGACACATTCGGTTGCCTCTCGTCTCCTACAACCCCGAAATGTTATTCAGGTGTTGGATTCACTCACAGAGGATTTGGTCTTACAGAGGTTCAGCGAAAGATTCAACTCTACATATTCTAAATTCCCTATATTCATTTTACCTTAAAATAATATTTTATTTTTTATTGCTGTCAGTTGCTGCTTTGCTGTGAGCATTTCGTTTTTAAAATACTTTTTGTATGTCCGTGCCTTCTTCACACGTCATTCTCGTGTTCAACTCCTCGAATTATTGCAGTTCAGTAGTGAAACGTGTGGGAACACTTTCTCTATTTGCATCCTTTTTCTCATCGCACTCGCATTTTTCTGATCTGCAAGTTTCTTTCGTGCCATTTACGATTTTTTTATCAGAAGCGAATTCTCTAGTTTTCATCTCGCAGTCCGCGCCCGTTTGGCCTTCAAGCTCACCCGAATTGCCTAACAGAAGCGGAAACTTTTCCCTCAGTGGAAAGGTCTCTCACTCCCTTTCTTTCACCGCAAGCCATACAAATATAACTCATGAGACTCACTACCTGCGGACTCTCGGTGCTGTTGTAATTTGGTATCCTGATGCTAAGTCCTTTTTTCCTCAAGTTTAATTTCCTGTGTTCACTCTAGCTTGTGATGAGAGTTCACTATTAACGAATTATCTTGTTTTTTCTAATGTATGTACAACGGGAGTAGTGAGTAGTTCGCTAATGCAGAACATTTATTAACGGTATTTTGTGGCACAGTTTTACCATACGCACGCAGTAATTTCCAAAAATTTGAATGCACTATTGTTTTAAATTTTATTCCCAACGATCGAGTCAGTATTTAAGATAGATACCCTCGTACTCACGTCAGTGTGTGTTATGTAATAGGAATGTTAGGTCAGGAGATTGCAGGCTCTGTGGCGTGGTTTGTTAGTTTCGTTTCGTGTGACAATGATTTTTTCCTTCGTCTTCGTTTCGAGTAATAATGTATTTTTCTTCGTCGTTAACATTGTTTGAGAATGGAGATCACTCCACAGTTAGTGAACTGAAGTGTGTAGTAATTCTCCTTAAGGTGGGCTCCACACATTCGGCATTCTGCGACTGCCAATTTGTGTACACGGCGCTCGGCGAATAGCGAGCAACCCGAACATTCGGTATTCGCCCTACCCACCGCGTGTGCGACGCACCAAAGGCAGCGAACATTCGCCGAACACGTCAGCTGTTCGGGATTGGAAGAGCAGGGCTCACTACTCGGCGAAAGCCGAATGTGTGGAATCGCCTTTACGGTAATCCAGTCGATAATATATGATCAGTCGTGTTATGTAGACTTATTAGAATTGATAACATCAAATTCTGCCCTGATTGATAATATCCTAGAAGTGACATTAACGATGTATTCAAAATAAGTAAAAGATATTAATACTTTATTTCAAGTTGTGTAGAATTGGTGTCGAATGTACTTTTCCGTACTTAGTAAATGGCCATTGTGTGCAAATAACTTCGTACTGGAAGCCAACATCGACCTCTTGTGACAACCCGTTCTCCGGGGGGGGGGGGGCACGTAACGGAACGTGCAAGGGTCATTTGTTGATTGCGGCGACAGAAATATTACTTGCGTCCTGGAACCATCGTTCCCGAGTTTTGCAACCGACGGCGGTAGGATTTTCTACATAGCTAGCTACATAACTAGGTCGAATTCAGCCGCTGTCTGGAGGAAAATTCCAGCGGCCGGCTGCTCTGATCGGTAGTTTTCCGCGGTTTCTCTGATCAACACCAAGCGAATGCCAGAGCAGTACCCTAACAAACGGGCCACGGACCGCGCGCGATCTCACCTTCCTCTTCCTTGTCCTAATCCTCACTCCATACACATACACTAACATGCGCTACACTACCACACATGTCGGGAGATCACAGTTTGTGGCGGCTGAGGCGGTGCTCCGCTGGAGGGAGTTCCCTGGATGAGGAAAATGCCCGAGAACCCACTTTGATCGGTGCCGGATCTCCCTATGCCGCGGGGAAAGATGAGCCCGCCACCTCCCACGATTCACTGCACTAATGCCCTTAGCGGTGGACGAATTCACTTTTCAATCAAACTGCAGGGTATGGGGATGTCTATTCCACGTGCGCCTGCCTATATCGTGCTCTGGATTCCGTCTTCCCCGACGCCTTGCGGGGGTGAGGGGTGACGGCTGATTCCGCTTGAATACCACTAACTGGCCATCCTTCCTCTTTCTTTCGGTGCAGAGAGAAAGGCCGCCGGGCGCCGACGAGGGGTCACGCGGGGTCGATTGGCGGCCGCCAGCGAATCGATTCCTCGGCCGCTCGCGTTCGCACGCGCGCCGCCCTCTCGGGGGCGGCTTTGCGCTCTCGCCGCCTGTCCTCGGCCAAAAGACGGTTCATTCGTGTTTCCCTAAACGGCTAAGGTCTTGGGTTCCGTAAGTGTAGTGTGGGAGTCGGCGGTATTCTCCCGATGTATATCCGGCGGCGACCTATACGTCGGCGAACGACGTTTTCCGTAACCAGGTATCTCCCACCAGCGGGACACCGGCGAAGTCGGGACACGCTGGAAGATTCCGACCGATGTCCCGACATGTGTGTAAAGGGTGAGGACAGGTCAAGGAAGAGGAAGGAAAGATCACGCGCGGACCGTGGCCCGTTTGTTAGGGTTCTGCTCCGGCATTCGTCTGGTGTTGATCGGAGAAACAACGGAAAACTTCAGATCAGCCGGTCGCTATAATTCTCTTCCAGACAGCGGCTAAATTCGACCTAGATGACAAGCTAGTGTTGAATATCTTGACACCTTCAGCACTCGAACCTTAATACATCTCGCCAGAGTCTTCGATGTTCCAGGGCCAGCGGTCCCAACCCCTGAAAGACTGAATTTGCATCGACGCCGCTGTGCAGCTCACGAGAGAATCGCTTGAAGTGGCATCTGTAGGGCAGGGCGACTCGCGCACGGCGTGTTACCTCCTTGCGCGCGTTGTCTCCGGCGGATGTTTTAATGTATGTTAAAACGAGCGCCGAGGGTGATGTATGCGCCGGGTGTGCTCGACGCGACGCTGCTGTCCTTGAATGCAACCATTCGGCATTTGCAGTCCCGCAGAGTCTCAGCAAAAAATAAAACAACTTTATCTGTTGTCGAGTTTATATATTTCAAAAATAATAATAATCATTACTATTCCCCTTTTTCGCCGCCGAGACCCCAAGGTGAAAAAAGAGAAAGAAAGAAAGAGAAGGAAAAAAACGCCGAGGAACTTGTCATGTGGAATAAATGATCCTCCCCGGCGTATTGTCGCCGGCGTGTCCGTCGGCTTCTGCCTACCGAACAGTACACGTATATTCGCTTCGTTCGGGCAAACTGAACAAGTAGTTTTGAATTCGCCTCTTCATAAAGTTAGAGATCAAGCAGGAACGTTGTTTAACTTTAAATCTCGATTTCTCACATGCCTTCGTGCTTTGCTCGGCTGCATCCGAGAACTACTTCAAGACACGATTCAACGGGTTTCGGATGCCGCTTAACATAGGAGAATCGCTTGTTTCGAACCGATATTTGACTGCAGCGTAAAGGAGAGTAAAACAAACCACTTTGGAAATAAGTGGTCTCTTCAGCGAGCGAAAAGACGCCAACGCAAAGAACCGTTCTTTTGTACTTGATACTTGATATTTTGTTCTTGGTAGTACTCAAGTACTAAAATTGAAAAATAGTAATTTGAGTCTTTCCAATTGCTACAAACGTTCAGCTTTTGCCTTCCAGTGATTTGAAGTAGAACGAAGATATTATTTTCCGTATGCTAGCCCTTTTTTTAAAGAATAAAGCGAAATCATACTAATGATATTACAATAATGTAACATGAGTTGGTGCTATTTCGTTTTTTTTGGGCAACTAAGTCAAAAGCAGGATTTAAACTGAAATGAATGAAAATAGAACAAATAAAAAATTGGCCTTTATATACTAGGGATGTATTCAGAAAGATGTTTGATAATCCCCCCTTTATTTATTTAACATCCAAAATAGTTAAAATCTGCGTGTCATATGGGGAGAGTATTTTGTGCACGTTTTCTTAAATTGTGCGATCCCTAACTATACCATAAACAAGTTGAATTGCGAATACAGATGGAAATGACTTTTTGGCAACAATTGGTGAGAAAAATCGCTCAAATGTAATAAAAATTATTTGCAAAGGAAATAAGCACAGATTTGGGCTCTTACGCCCACCGTGCCCTGCCAGAAGGAATATACCTCGGGCCGCGACGTGGAGGACGATAATTTCAGAAAACTACATTACACTCCGAACTCGAGAAGACGAGCGAGATTAATTCAGCTCTGTATCCGAAGAATTTTAATGTTATTACGAAAATATATTTAACTTTGGTCGTTACTGGTGCGTTTACCTTATGTTCATGTGTAAAAAAGACACAATTATAGTTTAACAACTATCATCAGAGAGTATCACTTTTCTTTTTCATGGAATACTGTCAATTCTCAGTTAGGTGTTCTTAGGTATCACTTTTCCACCAAGAGCGAAATATTAGCAAGAAATACGGACAGTTCTCAAATGGCACCACGGCAGTGACTACGCGGTTGACTCGAAATCAGTTCATTTCTACCATGACGTTGGGAGAGCTGCAGTTGTACTAACCATGAAACTCCTGAAATTACATTTTTACAAGAAAGTAAATAAAACATACCGAAGGAGAATGAAATTGAATTATTCAATTAAAAAAAATATTTTATGTTGACACATTTACGAGGCAGCAAATGGCTAGGAGAGGCGGATCTCTAAATTTCGTACAGCAGCTTCCCAAATTCAGAAAATGCATAAAAAATCCATTCAATGTCATTGTGAAAAGAGGAAAGTCTGATGTTGATCACTAGGTGACGGATTTTATTTAAATGCCTTTTTTTTTCATTCTAGAACAGTGCTGCTTTGTATAGAAATTCCCATTTTTTATGTCATTTTTATTTTCACATTTTTCGTCGATTTTGACTACTAAGACATTTTTCACCCCCTTTACGTTATTACAATGAATTTTTCGATAATTTGATATTTTGAGTATCACGTTGATGGTACTTGCTTCAAAAAATATTTACGAGATGCAACAAATATTCACCTCCGAATTACTGAGAAGCCTTTTCGATTTTTTCGCTCATATATTGTAATGTCAGCCGCTGTAATCTAAGGTTCCTGTGACGCATGTCGGCGCCATTATCAGAGCAGCCGATTTGGCGATGAATAAAGGCAGAAGCTTTGTTTTAAAGAACCGTTGAAAACAAAAGTTTTCAAGCTGAGTTCACTTGAAGAAAAGAAGGAAAGCTCGATTACATCACTAACATACCCAACATCTTCAGTCGTTCATATGAAGTGTTTTTAATCAACTTTTTAACGTCATTTTTCTTTGTTTTTAGGGCATTTAAAAAAATTAAGAGCGGTTTTTAAATAATTTTTGCCAAAGATTTAGGTCATCAAACCGGCCCGCTATTGATCACATTTACAAAAATATTTTTTTTTTTTACGTAGGGCAACGATATGTCGAAGGTCTTTCCATATTTCGCCAGGCTGGTGGATGCGCGCATGTTAATGTCGTAGATGCCATTCCGCATCGTCCGCGTGGATTGGGTCGAAGGCCCACAGTGCAGATCGGGTAGTGGTGGTGAGAGTGCCCTAGTTGTTGCCAAGTTCTGCGGAGCGTGGATGCGTCGGACGCGCCGTGACCGCTCCGCTGCCCCCTTTGCCCGCGAGGCGTCACCCCGCCAGGGAATCGATTCGCCCGCGCCTCCCCCCAATCGAACTCTACCGCTCCATGCGATTGCCCATTGATGGGCTATGAACAGCGTTAGCGACTGACGTTGAAGTCTGTAAACAGGGACGGTGGGCGAGGCTTTAACCAAACAAGTCCGTTATGCGAAACATTGTTCGTGGGTCGTGCAGTACTTGTACTAATAAAATAAAAATAAGAAAGAGCTTCTCTTGGAATACCACAACTCGCTGCCAATCCTTTGGTGCAAGCCATTTCGTTGTAATGTTCTTCTATAGTGTAGAATTGCGGACAATATTTAAAGTAAACTTTAACTAATTTTAATTATTAAAATGCACTTTTGCTAAAGATAAAAGCGTTCCCTGATGTATGAATGTTTTTCAATAGAGTCTACTAAGGTCTACAACGTACGGGTGAAGTTTTGGATTATTCAAATACATTTCAGCTAAGGAAGTTGCCCTTTTTGTCGAGTATAGAACTTCAGTTGGTGAAAGTAATTTATAATTATTGTACCAGCTAAAACCAAATCTTTTTTCTCTTAAATTTCGTTGCAAATGTCTAGTTGTAAGTGCAATTGTTGGAACGGTGTGGCTCGTGTCTTGAGCGGGCCGAGCCGACCTCTTGCGCCTCACAACCTACTCCATCGCGAGCGCCGACGCTAGCGCCCGTCTGCCAGGTTTGCAGCTGCGTGGGAAAGAGTTCCGGGTGACACCAAGT